TGCTGCTGCATCTACGACAGCTGCAAATGAGTTCCACGGAATCCCGCAAAAAGGCGGAAGGGTTAACCACACGTTTGTAGCATGAAGCAATAAAAAAATCTGCACAGTTTTCTCACAATGCAAAGCTTCAACTTGAAAAATTTGTCCCGGTTCGGGGGGTTGAACCTGGTACCAATGCCACTTGCGGGGCAGTCACCCCACCAACTAAGGTACACAGGATGCTAGCAATAGATGCCAGAGTCAGGAATATTTAGAATCGCAGTGCCACCTGTTGGAGCAGTTTTGGGTAGTGTAAACTCTCACTTCCTTGCATAGTTTGCTGTGGAAACAGGTGCGACTAGCGAGTACGGAGCGACGATCTAGCTTAACACTGCATGTGTATTGCATTGCAACAGCCAAAAAGATAGCTATAGATTCCTCTCCACTAGTCGAATGCACTACCAGACAACCTTGGATCACTTGCCAGAACAATGGTGAAAATCAAAGCCGACATGACAGCTCCGTCAGTTACACAGTAAAGTCAAACCCACTTATAACCAATACTGGTTTTAACAATATATCGGTTATATCAGTGCGAAGCCGCTGCACCATGAACCTCTGTATGTTTTATATGGTGAAATAACCTGCTTACAGCAATGCCCGCATACCACATCATTGGCGTGTCAGTGCTGAGAGTAATGAAGCGGTACATCGTTGAAAAGAAAGACGAAAACGAGAGATTCAAGCTGCTGAAACCCGCCCCCATTTTTAATGACCCCCCACACCCCCTTAGAGCACGCTTCACTGCATAGCATTCTGGCACTGCACCAAAGCAGACTTTTGAATTCTGCTGTGGCGCGGCAGCCGCTGTTGACTTGTGTAAATACACTTTCTGCAATGCAAGTTGAGTAAAAAGCTAACACTCCAAAAAGTTTAGTCATCCGAAACATGTCATAAATTGGCTCTATGGGGCTTGTCGCAGCCCCATGAAAGCATCCAAACTTTCAAGAATGTCAGAAAAATCAGCAGTTTTGTCATCTTCATCTCTGATGTCCGTTGGCACATTCCATCCCGATGATGTAGTTTTTTTCAGAACAGCCCGCCATCTCCCTATTTTGCTTTTTTTTTTTCGTGCAACCTATCTATAGCCCTTATTGGTTATAACAATAGAATTTTCATGGCACTTGAGTATCATTATAAGTGGCTTCAGCTGTACTTCCGCAATAAATGTTACCGTTGAATTGTGTATTGGCATGGACATGAAGGACTGAATACTAACATTCAGTTTTAACAATTTCTATAGCTGTCAAATGAAGCAGGGCGGCAAGAGCGCTGGGTACAGGCCGTTGAACATAATCGGATTACTCGCATTATCCACAGCAAACCACTTGAAAAAATGACTTTGCTGTTAGTGTTTTGCAATCTTCACAATGAAGCTCAGTAGAGTCTCTGATGACGGTGCATGCCGTGTAACATGTAATGAGCAGCCTTAGCAGTGTACCTGATTGGGCCAGTTGGTGCACAGTGAACAAAGAATGAAATGGCACTAAATACGGGACCAGAAAAAGACAGACACGGCGCTGAACAAATTGTAAAACAGGAGGGTTCTCCGTCAAGCGCAGTGTCCGTGTCTTTTTGTCGTCCTGTCTCTGGGGTTGTATTATTCTTCATTCACAGTGAGCAGCTAAATTCACACTGAGGACACGTAATAAACATCAAGCACACGGCCACCTCTTATAATCTGAATTGGTCATCACGGCACAGCATTGCAGAAGCACGTTTTGAAGGCCCAACAATCCGGTTCTAACGAGGAAATGCGAACATGTGCATCACACACGTAAGCTACAAGCTGCTCATTGCCACCACTTTCAGGTTTGTTTTGCCTTCAGTCGGGGTGTCTACCAATTTGATTTTTCCAAATTCCCTGACTTTTCAAGGTTTTCATGATGACTAAAAGCAAGTTCCATGACAGTCATGTCTGCTAGGAAAACTCTATGCACTGGAAACAAACCCTCGTTGGCAAAAAGAAATTGGGCGCTCATATAAAATAAGTAAACACATTTACCACATGCGCTCAGAATGTTCACAGCATGTGCGGTAATATGAAAAAATACGTATATCTGGCCAAAATAAAACCTCAGACACAAGAAGTGAACAAGTTGGCTGTTTAATGTTTGAAAGAACCAGTAAGCAAATACACGAGTTAAAATTAAGTGCAGCTGAAATTTAAAGGAGCCTGTGATAGTGCAACAACGCAGCCAAAGCTGCTAGAAAACTTGCAAGCCTAACCACTCGTGTGCGTAGCATCTCACCACATGGTTCCCTTCACTCCCTCACTTCTCCCTCACTTCAGAGAGAGAGGCACGTGTCTATGCTAAGCTGCACTTTCCTCTCCCTTCACTGGTAGAGGACGCAGCGACCCATCGATTCATACGTGGAGCTTAATGTCATACGTGGGGTTTAAGTTTTACGGATGCCAGCATGTTACCTTTGTTTACGTACTCTTCTATGGACGTGATACTAAAAAATAATTACCGATTTAATAACACCATCTCAAGAAAAAGAAATGTGAACTTTACCTGAAGTTACCGAATGCTACCTTTGTAACGTGAGCTACCAGCAATAAGTGCATAGTCGAGGACGTTCACCGTTGCTTTGCCAATAATAGCAATAGTAGTACTACTAATATTAAAATTCGTGACATAGCCCAGGTAGCCTCTGCTCATGGCAGTTCTGGCCTAACCCGAGCCAGGCGAAAATCGTGGTTCAAGGCAAACATGCACAAATTTACCAACTAGCGAGTAATGTTGTGGTTAGAAAGTCAGACATCCTGTGTGATATGCAGCAGCAACAGGCATCAGAATAGTGCTTGTACCAACATGAAAGCTAAGGAACGTTTAGTCAACATGACAGACAAGTTGCTGAGCAGAAATTTTCCCTCTCTTGCTTAAGCCATAGGCTGCCACGATTGTGACAACCAGTACATCAGTGAGACCGGCGATTTAAAAAAAAAAGGGTTAAACAACATGAATTTGACATTGTGAAACAACGCATCACCTCTAATGCCCTCACTAAACATCTGAAATCTACGAGCCACCAAATTGACTGGTCAAGTGCACGCATTCTAGCCAAAGAAAAGGTTGCATCATGCCTGCATTTCGAATTCCTGCACATACAGTTGACTGCACATACGCTGAACAAAAGTGATAAGACGGTTTCGACAATGTACTCAGTGCTTACGTCACATATTTAGGCGTACCTAAATAAGCTGTGCCTTTCCTATGGCTTTTATTATCTACAAGGTTCCCGTATCTAGAAGCGAAATACCAGTGAACTTCGTGTTCTTTAGGTAGGTGTATAGTTTGGTGTTTACACGAAGAAGCAACAGTTATTCAATGCCTTTTTATTTTAAATGCATAAGTATTTCGGCAACTTTGAGCCCGTCCGTCATCTGTCTGTCTGTCTAGCCGCTTACGTTTGAGTGCTCTCGTGGTCACCCGTTAACTTGGCGTGAACGAAAATTAGCATGCAAGGGTAAGATGGTTTGACGAATATGATGCGCTGGTCAGGACATGAATAATGTCACAATCCTGTCGCGTACTTCGTGAAATAGTTCCCACCAGACAGAGGCACGTACCCATGGGTGGGTATGTGCCTCTGGTATGCGTGTGTGTGCCACAGGTGATTCACACTTAATATCTACCCAGGAACGTCTAGAACACACGAGGGTGATTTTCAAGCATGAGAGTTAAGAAATACCCGACATCGATAGCGTCAACACGATGAATGCAAAGAATAAATGTCAGGATCCCAGCTGGAATCGAACCCAAGCATTCTGTGTGGCAATGAAGCATTTTACCACAGAGCTACGCCAGGTCTCGGAACTAATTTTCAAATAGAGGCTTATCTTCGTGAGACATCAATAGTGGTTGCTGTGCTACCTACCCAATTTTAGAAACATTACATATGTACTCCTTTGATACAGCCGTCACATCAGATTAACGTCAATTGTGGCTAGTTGCCATGTGCTGAAGTTAATTTATGTAGCAGTGTCCAGGGCCAGCATCCTTGCAAGCATCAGCGCTTCATATCAGCTTCTGGTGTTGCTAATACGCATGTTCCAGTTGACATTGTTGCGAAAGTGTAAACAACTGGTTATATAAACATCTGCAACTCTTCAACGTATGTCTGTGCGTACAACATTTGTACATATATTTAGCGCCATTTCATGACGTGTCACTCAATAAAAAACGTTGCAACACGGTCACTTTCCCTTCGCATTCTTCGCATAATCTGCCGAATTTTTTTTATTTCAGGCCTCGTCTAGTTGTTCATTTCGGTTTATTATTATGTATTCAAAATAGAAAGGTTCAAGGATAGTAGTTGCAGCCGAAGGTGCAACGTTTTAAGCTTTTATCCACGGATACGCTTATTTTTGTTACGGTCGCACAGACTGCCGCCAGTTTCCATGACCTGGCCAGGTCTTTCAGAAATTCCCTGACTTTTCCCCGACTTTTCCAGGTTGGTAGACACCCTGCTTCAGTTTTACAATGTGAAAGCAGTCGCGCATGTATCCGCATATTCCGAATATACAAGAAGAAAACTGTCCCCAAGAACACAGAAGCCATGCAATAAAACAGTCCAACTAACTGCTTATTGGATGTTAACAGGAGAATGCAGCTGAAAAAGTGAAAATCGCCGGAGCCATTCAATCCTGATAAAGCGAGCATAGTACCACAGATAGTGACATACATAGCGAACTTATTGATGATGTATGCACTTAATCACTTCGAAACTGTGTGTATATATACCCAAATTTAACAGATTCGGGGGCAAACCCATTTAGGTCAGAGGGCTTGCCTCGAAATCAATGACGTGAAATGCTCTCTTGTATACTTGAGCAAAGCCTATTTGCGAGATACCTGAAAAATGTTTTTGCGAAGTAAATATACAAAGCAAATACACACATGATTTACGACATCTACACAAGAGCTTTCCAGGACCCATTTTCCCGCACATACCATGTGTCTTCCACTGGTCCGACTCAGTGTTCGCACTGGTATGTATCTGTAGCGAACACAACCCACAACCACTCTAGCGACGTATCGTCGAGTCTCCGCAGCGATGCTTCCATAATCTTTCACTGTTCACCAGCGCGTTACCCGAAACCACACAACTTCGTGCCCTTGCACTGACGATGCACACACGTACGCATAACTAAAGGTTCCGATATCATGCGATTACGATGCCTCGCATACGCCTTGCTTTTTCACTCTGATATCAGCAGCGATAAACTGACTTCGCCGCGCCGCCACAGAACACCTACCGCTGGCCGCCACCATGAAGCAAGCGCGGTGGCGACATTTGCGGCGAGAAATGTTACTGTCTTACGTAGAAATATTGCTTCTACCAATTCGTTAAGCAGAAAAACGTTCAGACGCATATTGCAGTGCATACAATTGTGTGATGTTTCTTAGTCTGTGAATAATCGCTGTGTTTTTTTTTCTTTTTTTTACATGGGTGCGAACCAATCAGCTTTGAATGCATTTTCTTGTTTCGCTACATTTCAAGTGACATATTCACACTGTCAAGATCCACCATATTTTTTATAGGGACGCGCATTCATGATTGAAGGGAAATGAGAAATGATGATGAGAAACAGCCCGATGATAACAAACTGCCTAACCATACACACGCGCTACATCGCGCTAGCGCGTGGCCACACAGGGCGCCGCGCCCTTTTTCTGTGGAGAGAGTACGCAGCTACGCGAAACTGCGCCCCATAGAGTTTCACCCTTTTTCTAAGGGGAGAATCATGTATTTTCTTGGTTTCACCATGGTAGTATATAAGTGTTCTGTGGTTTCAACCCCTTTCTCTTTAGGCGCTACGCCGTGCATTTCTCTTATAACCACCCCACCACCACTTTCTCCGTAGGGCGCGGCCAGCGCGGCGTCGTGTCAGAAAGCCACGCGCTGACACGCTGCAACGCGTACGTGTGGTCTAGCACACGTATGCATTGATGGTGGTTGTGGTCAGAAGAGGAAGACGGCGCCTAATTTCTTCCGCCCGGTAGGAAGCACGGCGCAGCGCCTGCATTGCAGCATGTCAGCGCACGTTAGAGTTATATGCTACTGTATATGCTACCTTTAGGTACGTAAAGGTTGCATATACAGTATTTCTAGCGCGCGTTTGAGCGAAGCGCCCTCTCTCTCTCCATAAGGAGAGGGTGCCAGCGCTGACGTGCTGCAACGCGCACGTGTGTGCAGGCTTAAACATATGCATGGGTGTCAGCAGGATTTTTGCCTGGGAGGGGGTAGGCGCCCCCCCCTCTTTCTGTGGAGAAAGTATATGCACGCTCCGCGAGTTTCATCCATGCTGCGCCCCCTTTTTATCCGTAGGGCGCGGCGCCGTATCAGAAAGCCACGCGCTGACATGCTGCTACGCGTACGTGCGGTTGTGCGCTCTCTCTCCATAAGGTGGGGGCACCACGTCAGAAAGCCACGCCATAGGTGTTCTGTGGCCTGACCACACGCACTGGCGTGCCGCAACGCGCACGTGTGGTCAGGCTTAAATATGCATGGGCGTCGGCAAAATTTTTGTCTAAGGTGGGCCGACATAGGCGCAAAACCGCGTTGCACGCCGCTAGGGAACAGAGGTTGTGTAGCTTAGGTAGGGCGCAGGTGCCCGGACCCCCCTTCTGACGTCTGTGCCTCACTTCTCAAAAGAAAAAAAGCTAACAGTCATATGTTAATCGAGTTCATTACCTGATAGTATCCTTATATTGTGACAGTTTGCTTCAATTTGTTACTTGAGCATCAAATGCAGATATCTCGTCTGCATGCGGTCCTAGGGTACTTTGGCCACACATTATCTGCCAACATATCTATCGATCAATACTGTGTGCATTTCACGTTCCGCCAATTCCGTCCTCCATGCATTCCATGCAGCTATCATGACCACATTCGCCATTCGCGCGTCGGACAACTCTTTACGGGTTCGTTCAGTGACGCGTTGGAACCCAAACATGCGCTCACAACAAAAGCAAAAAATAAAATAAAAAAGCCACTAGAATAGCTGACCCTATGTGCCACCAAACTAAATAAAATTAGGTCAGCGTAATGGCTTGTCTACTTTAATTAAAACTAATCCTTATACAAAATAAGAATGAACGCCCATTTATTCACAGCCCAACTCTTATATGACATAGCGTCATTTTTTCTACTGTATTTGTTTCTTATCCCTACTTTCCCAGCCACCATCCCCCCTGCCCCCATTGTTGAGTAGGGAACCGGATGCTATCTGGTTAAGCTCCCAGCCTTCCTCTTTATCTTTTTCTTCTGCTTTATTGAATGATACTTTACTCTTGCAAGGTAACCCGATCTCACTTAAAACTGGAAAAAGCTTCTTGAATTGTGATAAAATACCTCCCTCTCACGCTGCCAGTAATACACCTACCCGAGCAGCATGCACATAATTCATTGTTGAAGCAACACCTGAATTGTTAAGGCCTCAATTCCCAATCTACAGCAACGTTGTATCAATAAAAAATACACATACAAGTGCTCCCAGCACCACATGTGTAAATTACAAAGCTCCATCGAAGTAAAAAGTTTCTGGAGTTCTTCCAAACAAAATTGTGTTGTTGCCATAGCGCGTAGGCTCTTTTTGAGATAGTCATCTGCGAGCACCCCTAAATTTCGCAATCTGAAGTTGGTGGCATATGCACGACTGCAAATACAGGCGCACTGTACACAATAGCGACAGCGATATATTCTATAAACAAGAATGTTTTGTCGAAAACATATCAGCCCTCATCTTTTATTGAAGGGCAATGCTTAAAATCATCAGAAGGTACACGTCTTACGAGGTGATGTAAGGAAATACATTGATACATGTAATGCCCGTCCCGCAACGCCGACGGTTTTCTTCGTGATGTCCAGCGCATTATGATGCTTGGCAAATCTTCAAATGTATCAAGCTTTGTAGATGGTCTTATTTTGTGCATATACTGACCTAGAAGATGATTCAGATTTTTAGAGGAACAGAATTTTCACACTTCCTTCCCATTCTAGTTTTCTGGTCTTGCTTTATAACAAGCTGAATGACGAGTAATACTGCACAATCTGTTGTCACAAGCCCTTCATCTAGAAACTCATTTGCACCACACTCTTTTTTTTTTGTTTAGCGATTGGGATGCATGCTTTATACAGCCTTCTTGGTAATAATCATGCTACCTTCTCTTAATACGAATGCTTTAAACATATTTACATTAGCATGAATACATATTTTTCTGTTCCACCTACACTTTACTGTTGCGGGTCCACAGGTGGCTGCGCATAGCTTTAGGAGTAAAGGATGCACTAAAGTGGACTCAGTATAAAGGATGCTCTCCTGTGTGGGTGCGCATGTGGGTAATGAGGTGCGGTTTCTGTAGAAATGATGCATCACAATGGTCACACGAAAAAGGACGCTCTCCTGTGTGGGTACGCATGTGGGTAATGAGATGTGTTTTCTGCAAAAACTATGCATCACAATGGTCGCAGGAAAAGGGACGCTCTCCTGTGTGAGTGCGCATGTGGTTAACAAGGTGCGGTTTCTGCGAAAATGACTTATTGCACTGGTCACAAGAAAAAGGACGCTCTCCTGTGTGGATGCGCATGTGGCTAATGAGGTGCGCTTTCTGTGCAAATGACGCATTGCAGTGATCACAGGATAAGGGACGCTCGCCCGTGTGGGTGCGCATGTGAGTAACGAGGTGTGTTTTCTGCGAAAACGACGCATCACAATGGTCACAGGAAAAGGGACGCTCTCCTGTGTGGGTGCGCATGTGGGTCTTGAGGGCTCCACTGACTGAAAAGGATGCATTGCAGTGAGCACAGGAATAGGGACGTTCTCCCGTGTGGGTGCGCAAATTAGCCACGAGTTTGGAGTTCTCAGTGAATGCAGCTGCACACAAGTGGCACTGGAAGGGGTATTCGCCCGTGTGTTTTCGAAGGTGTCTGTTCATGGAACCCCTTTTCTTGGTCACATAGCTGCACTGCGGGCAGGAATGCAGTTCCAACGACGGGGACTGCTCCAGGGATGCCAAAGACAAGGAAACTGCAATGTCACAGGAAGCATAGAAAGGCAACACTTACCATGTGTCCCAAACTAGTACTGCACGTGACTATACACATACATGGCTGCAGCCACAAGAAATAAGAATTGCTGCATTTATGATTACATTATACTCTTGGCGTACCACATGGTACCATTGATGTGGTACAGTACACCCAGCACATGTCTCTCCAAGCCTGCAGTTGTCTCCGCACAAATGCTAGAATATATACACGAGAGCATCTGCTGCCAATACACACAAGTCCATTTTGGAAACAATTTAAATATTATATAAAAAGTCAATATTATTGCCATGTGTACCATCATGGCAAGCACAAACAATTATGTTTTAGCATAATGCATTCAAGTACTTGCTGAAGATGTTGTTCCTTCATTTGTAATATATCAGAATAAAAAAAGCAGTTGGTGCATAATAATTCCAAGGCTGTGCAAAATCTGAAAGCCCACCCCAAAATCACGAAGCTTTACAGGGCAAAGTGCAATTCATGTAACCAAATTTACACACATATTATCAACCTTCTGCAGTACAAAAGTGAAATGTTACAAAGTGTCACAGAAACTACTAGTTGACAAGGTTATTTTTCTCTCTATTTCCTCACAAATATTTGCAAGTACGGGGCTGATTTATGCTCATGATATGAAACAAACCATTTTTTTTAAAGATTTCATATAGAACCAGCACAGTAGAATGGGAATATGATATTCAACTTAACTCAAGATAACCGATCTGAGGTAGCAGTCAGCAAGCACTCTCACAAATTTGAGCTCATAACAGGTTAAGCAGACATAACACTGCAAAGCAGATGATTTCCAAGAAGCTGGCTCAATTAACTTCTGGCGAATTCCAAAACATGCAGCTCTTTGGATGCTCCATAGCAGGAGTGGACCCACCTGTAACAGCATAGACATCATTGTGAGAGCCAGAATGAACACACACACAGTGCACATACACATAATTTGACCCTCAGCGTAAACCAGACTAAATTTCACAAAAGAAGTGATGGGCACTTCTTGCTAACACTGTAATTGACTGCTTACTGATTTTAATAACCAGCTACATGTACCATCCAGTTAAGTTTTTCAGAAAGGACGCCAGCTGTAGAGGAAAATAAATACTTCAAACACTTTCATTTGGTAGTAACCGCACAGTGGAGGACCTACAATGGCGCTTAGCAGCATAGAGGATGCAAATGTTCAGACAAGCAATA